GATAGGACTTTTCAACTTCTAACATACTATGCATTTATTTATTTATTTTCACTATCATTATCTCTCTCTTCCTACTAGAATGTGGTATTATGAGGATAATATCTTTGCCTATTTTGTCCACTGACATATCCTAAATGTTTAAAACTGTGCCAGGCACAAGAGTCCTGTATAAATGTTTACTGAAGGAACATTAAAATTATTATTGCATACTATTAATAATAACATAGAGTACCACTTTTAATCATTGCTGGATCGTTTCGTGTTAAATCATGCTTTATAGATTCTTCCACTTGAGAGATCAAATGACATGTTTTATGACACTGGTATCAATCACATAAGCTCTCTAAGAAAGAGCAGTATTAATTTATTTGATTGTAAGATAAAAAAGTAAGGTAAAGTAGTCCTTCTACAACAAACTTTGATTGCACAATACCAAAAAAAAAAAAAAAAAAAACCCCACAAAGGTGCATTTGTAGAAAACCATACATCAATTTACTATAAAATAGGATGTTCTCCCAGAAATTTAAAATTTTAAATCAGGAAAAATACACAACCGTAAAGAATTAGAATGTGGCAACAGTAAAATGCATTTATTCTGAGCAACCATTAATCAGTAATGGGCAGAAGTGTGTTTGCCTCGGAATTAATAATTAAAATGCAGCTACAAATTTACGAAAACATACCTCAAAAAGTAAAATAAGCACAGCCAACACACCCATTCTGATCCGTGTATCACTGTTGCTTTTGTGGTAAGTTGCGGAACCTGCACACCCATTCTGATCCGTGTATCACTGTTGCTTTTGTGGTAAGTAGTGGAGCCTGTCAAGTGTGCTGCTGATCCAGGATCAAGCTGTCTCTTTTTTGACAATGTCAGTGACTCCTGACCCTTTATCACTGTTATATGGTCAGTTTGCGGCCTTGCTATATTGAACGAGAGCCAGGACACAACAGTATGACCCTCAGAAGAATGTCCTCTTAAAGGGATACATGCAGGTTTGTGAAGGAAACCCTTCCAAAATCCTTTAAACCTGCAATTAGGGAAAGGCTGCTTTAAAATGTAACATTTGGGAGATGGATAGCTTCATCTTCACCCACAATGTAAATTAAAACTACACAAAAGACAGTTAACTAAGTCATCCAAAAGGTCTCCCTGGAAAAAAGGCACATGAGATTATGATTTGTCATCTCAAAGATTTTGCTTTTTATGTCAATTTTTAATGATATATCTGTGATTATATTACTTTAACTATTAATATCTTAATGAAAATAGCAACACATATAGATTACATAACTACATAATATTTAAATTATAGTAATAATAATAAAAGTATATAGGCAAAACCTAACATGCAGGTAAATATTCTTTTGGTTCTGAAATCATAAATAATCTAGAAACACTCTTAATGTTGTTCTTTTTACTTCAAAGAAAATACTATCACTGTCACAAAAACAGATTTCAACTACAGAGTACACCGTAAAACCTGAAACAGATCTGCTGAAAAAGAAAGCATATTTCCCATTTTTACTCTATAATATTTTTTAAAAATTAACATGTAAAGTGGGTTTTAATATTTTCGTACATAAAATCACAAGATTAATCCCCCTAAATGGCTACTATGACTGTCATAAATAATTTAAAACATGTGGCTCAAGGAAAAAATGTGATGAACCTTAAGACAGAATCCTGAGCAAAACAGAGTGTGCGTGTTGACCGAGGCTCACGGGCTTTACTCTGTGAGTCAATCAATAGACGTTAGCTTTAAAGAGAGAGAGAGAGAAAGAAGCTATGGCATATTTTTTAAATGAAAAGGTGAAGGTTTAAATTGTCTCAATCAAGATTCTATTTTTTCTTCCCAGTTTTTCCAGCTGTTCTCTTTCAGTTAGCACTATTCATTGCAAACAAATTTAATTAGTTCCAATTGATCATGGCCAACATTTATACAGATTTATCCCTACTTCTTTACCTTCATAAGACAAACACTAACAAAGACTCGGAGGCTCTGATCCTGGCGTAGTAAGGCAACATTCACACCTCACTCATTCTCAATCAAAAGGAAAATTTCAGTAACGATTTTTCTGCCTCTAGCAAAAGCGCTAAAGTAACCATCACACTTCACATTTTAATTGTTGCCATGGTCAGATTGTTTTTAAGAATCAAGTTCTAGGTTACTACAAAAATAAAATTAATACAATTATGCACATTAGCCTAACCATAGCTTCTAAATAAGAATTCACTCAAAATATAGGCATGTATTTCTATCATGGAAGACTTTCTATTTACTTGACACAGGGACAGTATTAGGGTTGACTCCTTTGAAATATCTGAAAAGAATTAATCAGATTTTTCAGAGCGAATGGTCAAACTGGCCAATGTTCCTTTTTTGCAGCAGTTGTGTTCAACAATGCTGGTCACCCTAAAATAAGATTATTGTGCTTGAAACAGATTTCTCTCAAAGCAGCTACCAGATTTTTCATAATGCAATTTATATAGGATTCTAGTCAATGAAACGAAATATGGTTTTCTTCTAAACCCTCACAAAAATCTATACCACAGCTTAATCAAGTCACACACTGGAAAGGCAATCCAAACGATCTACAGACTGCAGCATGCGAGTTGCTTTGACAACATGCTAAGGAAGCCTTTTTCAGTTATTTAAATTGGTGTGATATTGAACATTCCTGCCTCTAGCACCCATGGCATGAAATGAATAAATCAACGGTTAAGAGCCATTCATCACATATATTTAATCTAACTTCTTAGAGATTAAAATATAGTTTATGTAGCATTAACTGACTCTCCAAACTGGATTTTCCTTTTTAAGCCTCTTGGTTTATTTAGCAATAAAGGGAAGAAAACACAGTTACAAGCCATCACGTGGCTGTGCTAGTGCGCAATTCAAAAATTTCCATGAACTGATTCAGTAATGCTCACTGGAGTGCTCAAGAACCCAGCTTTCATTCCAGAATGCAAACTGAGCTCTTCTACGCAATTTGACACTCAAAGAGAAACTTGTCTCTTTTCTACGAGTTAAACAATTATTTGTTTTAGACTGGCAAGCCTTTAAACATTGCAGGCAATTAAGACATTACAACAGATTTATAAAAGCATAAGAAAAGCAATGAAAAATGAATAAAACAAGAAACAGTTGTAAAAAAAAATCCACACATGAAATATATTTTCTTTAATAGCTACTGAAACAAATTCTGTAATTATGAAGAGGCAAAGAGCTTTTAGAAAGGTTGGAAGCTTCTGAAATCATTTATATTTAAGTTGGATGATTATTTTCTCATCAATGAATTGACACATTAAAAAGTAACTACTTTATGGATTCTGACAAATGCATAATCTCACATGTCCATCATTACAGTACCGTACAGGAGAGTGTCACTGCCCTAAAATGCGCATGTTCTTTTTTTTTCCCCATCCTTCCCCTCTTGCCCTCTCTAATACCTGGCAGCCACTGACCTTTTCACTGTCTCTATAGTTTTACCTTTTGCAGACTGTCATATAGTTTGAACTAGTTTTTATAAATATAAAACCAAAAAAAAAAAAACCTAAACCCATTGCCATAGAGTCGATTCTGACTCATAGTGACCCCCGTTGGGTTTCTAAGGTGGTAAATCTTTACAGATAAAGATCGCCCCATCTTCCTTCCATGGAGCAGCTGCTGGATTGGAATCTCCAACCTTATGGTTAGCAGTCAAATGTCTTACACACTGTACCCCCAGAGCTCTTTTTTATAAATAGAGGTTTCATAAATTTTTAAGAGAGAAAGTTGTCTCCTTCAACTTTCTCCCACTGGAAAAATGTGAAAGGCATTTAGGTAGTAACAGCTGTTAGTTGATGGTCAGCTAAAGTGTGCTAACATCAGATTACAATAAACCAATAGAAGGTGACTCTCAGAAACCTCCACATTACACAGAGACTATCCTGTCTTTACATTTATGGGCAAATGTAGCAGCAGTTCTTTTAGTTCTTAAATGAAGTCTTATAAATTGTAGTGCTATGGGTCAGCATGAGTCAAGGCAACTGATGACAGCTAACAACTGAACTTTCTTTAAGTTTTAAATAATTATAACACATATATACAAGAGTACATGTAACATGTATGTACAACTTTAAAAACCTACAACACAGAGCTTTAAAAGAAAAAGAAAACTTCCCTTCAATTTTTCTTTTGTCCTTTTACTCTTTGATGAAAAGTTTATCGTTGTCTTGACAAGCCTCTTCTGAAATTATTACTGTTAAGTTAGTTATCTGTTGCTTCATGATAATTACATTTTATCAGATTTTAATCTTAACCATTTACACCAAAAACAAGTTTATCAATCTTAACACCAAGACAAATATTCATATTAGGTAGTTTTTGTCCTCAGTGCAGTCAAAGAATGCCTTTGGACATCTAGTAATTAAAACTCACTAAAGTCTGTAAAAAAGACAGGCTGAAAAAAAAATTATATGTATATAGTGTGTGTAGATTGACTTTATGCCTGTTTGCATGCTTGATAATACATATAAGAACTGTCAATATATAAACACTTCAATAATTTTAAAAGGCAGCATTCATCTCCGTGGTACAGGTACAAAGAGTATCTGACTTTCCGTATACAACGTGTATCACATATACTGCTGTTACATTAACAGTCTTCAGTTTACACTATGTGGAAAATCTGTCATAACATAATGTGTATATTCCTGTGTTCCAAGGCTTTAGTAATGACCCTAGCCTCTGAATTAGAAGATCTGCAGAAAATCAAGTGTACCACTAGCAAGTTCATTGTACAGTGACAATGAGCAAATCTGGACCAACTATAAACATTCCCACTTTGTTCTACCTGAAGATCAAAAGGATACTAAAGAGTCTCATAAAATTAAACATACCATCAAGACAAGTTTTGATCCCTTCCAGCAACACATTTAGTCCCAGTATAACTGACCTAAAACACACTCCACAGTGCTGAAGCGAGTTCAACATTCTGTTAAAGAGGTTCATGCTTACCAGTCGTGATGTCATCATCAACAAGGTCATGCTCTTCCTCCTGGATTTTGGTTTCTGTCCCTGAGATGTCAGGAGCAGCAGTGACAGTCTGAATGGCTTCTGCTGAAACTCCAGCTAAAAGAAACAGGAAATACAGGGTGAGTTTTAAAAAGCTAAAAGAAAGGTGGACCACAACCATTAAAGCTATAATTTACTTAGTAGATGCAAATCGTTTGGGGAAAAAAAAAATTTATTTTTTTCACCAAAGTTATGAAGAGTCATAAATTAATGAACAAAATATTACCATGTGATCTATTTTTTATAATTATGCATTTACATGGCTATACGCTATATTTACGTCTAAACGAGATCTGTGAAGAACAAATGAAAGATCCTGAAGTCAACTGCATTTTACTTGCATTCCTTCCATGTTTTTTTTACTACAGTTACTTCAGCTAATTTAGACAAAATTGTGCTGCAAAGAGAGAAAACAAACTAGTAAGTGAGGCACAGCTTTTAAAAGTTTACTTCTTTCCAATATTTGTCATCAATTGGGATGGGGGGGAGGATGAGGACACGAGGGATTTATGCCCTTGTTCTAACTGCCAAAAAATCCAAACCCAATGCCATCGAGTTGATTCTGACTCATAGTGACTCCCACTGGGTTTCCAAGGCTGTAAATCTTTACAGAAGTACATTGCCTCACTTTCCTCCTGCAGAACTGTTGATGGGTTTGAACCAGAGGCCTTCTGGTTAATAGCCAAATGCCTTACCCACTACAACATCACAGCTCCTTGTTTGGTCTACGTAAGAGACCTGAATGAAATGTATTGGTCCAAAACAGTGGGACACCTCCCTTTATGAAAGAATTAGATATGAGGCCAGATTGTTATCACCATCACCAAACAAACCTCCCTGAAAGCAGACAACTGGTTAGATCAGTGGGTCAAATGCTTCTATTCTGTAAATTACCTGAGAACTTGCTGATTCATGCAAATGCCTTTTTCCTTACACACCTATCTTCTCATCTTGTGGTTCTGCATCCACAGATTCAACCAGCCATGGATGGAAAATATTCAGGGGGAGAGGGGGTGGTGTTTCATTAAGAGGCTAAAGCAATCGCTCAAAGGTTAAGAGGAAGAGTAGAGTGCTATTTACATAGCACTGACACCACATTAGGTATTAATAGTGATCTAAACATGGTTTAAAGTGCATGGGAAGCTGGGTCAGTTATGTGCAGATACTACATCACCATGGATGTTGGTGTCCACGCTGGGGGGGTGGGGCACTCCTGAAACCAATACCCTACAAATATTGAGGGGTGACTGTATTTTGCCGTTTTGGGGTGGTGCAAACAGATTGCATTCAACTAGCCAAAAGGGCTGGGGGTTTAAAGCTGCTCAGAGATGTCAAGGAAGACAGGCCTGGTGATCACTTCAGAAAGACTGCAGCCTTGAAAAGCCAACAGAGCAGCTCCTCTGCGCGCATGGGCCACTGTGGGTCACGACCAACCAACCAGCAGCTAGCAAGTTGGATCTACCACGTTATTTCCATCTTGGCAATGGGTAATAGCTTGCATAAATATTTTTCATATGATTATCAACAAGCATTGCTGAATCAGGTATATACAAATCTCACTATTAGAAGTCACTTTAGGAGTTGACCTTTCTAATCAAATCTTCTTAAGTATATACTTATCTTACATACTTATGTACTTCTTATATAATTAAGGATACAATGTCACATATTGTTGTTGTTGTTATGTGCCGTCAAGTCGACCCGACCCATAGCGACCCCTCCTTGGGTTTCCGAGGCCGAATCACTATGGAAGTAGATTGCCCAACCATCCTTCCGAGGAGTGACTGGTGGGTTTGAACCGCCAGCCTTCTGGTTAGCAGTCAGGTGCCTTAGGCATTACGCTACCAGAGCTCCACATATAGGATCCATCCAAATATTTTAAAAAACAAAAACTACAAATATTCAAGGCCTTCTTTTCTTCCAAGTTGTGTTAACTTAAGCATTTCTGCAACAAATTTAACTGACCTGCCTCAAGTTTACCGACACATCGGGAGAGAAAGAATTTTCATAATTAACCACTATTAAAACCACTATCCACTGCTACTGAGTCGATTCTGACCATAGCAACCCTCACTGGGTTTCCAAGAGTATTGATCTTTACAGAAGTAGATTGCCTCATCTTCCTCCTGCAGAACAGGTGATGGGTTTGAACCACAGACCTTCTGGTTAGCAGCCAAAGGCCCTACCCACTGCACCACCAGAGCTCCTTATTAACCACTATTAATGACCCAGAACTAGACCTATGAGTAGGCAGTTCCAAGCCCTAATGATTTAAATTTTTGGAAGAAAACCACCAACTTACTACTAGCAACTGTTCAGAGTGACTCTAACAAAAAAATAAATAATGCTAAATCTATGACAATGTAAAATAACAAAGTCATCCCTTTATGGAGGTGTTTTTAATTGTTTGATTTACACAATAAAATTTTTAAATAAAGAAGAGAAATTACTAGAGACACAGTATTTAGTTAATTACTTGATTAAAGATGGCAAGGAGTAGAATAATCACCAAAGAGGAGGAGATGAGATGGTAAATAATGCCCTGTTCCTAACAGAGACTTACTGGTTAAATACAAAATCAAAGTCATTATTCTTATTACTGAGTCAAAATACAAATTCCTGAAATCTCCCAATCTTGTTCTCTCCTTGACACTGGATAATTTTGAAAATAACCAGAGAACACAGGAAAATACATTAAGAAACAAGTTTGGTTACCAAGAACTGGTATCATTAGTACTTTTTCCCTCCTGTAAGATCAGTGGATTCACAAACAATAAAGCTGGTATTTATGTAGTAGCAATATTTACAGATCTATTTACTTTTACTTCATTTAATTAGGGAGATTAAGTAATTGGTCAACATAACACAGCTATTAAATTCAAAACCCAGGATTGAATTTAGGATCAGTTAATTATCCCAACTCCAGCCAAATGGAGTTGTGATGATAACAAACTACCGATGAACCCTGACCTCTGCTGGAAGGCAGGTAAGGTAAGACAGAAAGAATGGAAACACTGAATTACTATGCTCGATTCTCATATCAAAATGGCACACATCACTTAAAACTAATTTTAAAAGCTCATGCTAAGGAAATGATGGTTTTTCAGCTTTTGAACAATATAGTTATGTTTAAAAAAATATCAAAATCATTGTTTAATCCTTCTAAAAATAGCTCTGGTGGCACAGTACCTAAGGCATTTGACTGCTAACCAGAAGGCTCGTGGTTCAAACCTACCAGCCACTCCTCAGAAGAAAGATTGGGCGATCTACTTCCGTAGTGACACAGCCTCGGAAACCCAAGGAGGGGTCGCTAGGCATCGGATCGGACTCCACGGCAGTGAGGGTTTTTTTTTTTTTTTTTTTTGTTTTTAAATATGATAACCATTACCTGAAAAATAATGAATACAAATATATATATATTTTTAAAGCCAAGCTATAGCTTGGCCAGTTCTAATCTTCACAGTATTTGATTACATGTTATCTCATGAAAGTAGGTGGTCATTACAAAGAACATTCCCGAAAAAGCAAAACGATAGGGACAGAAACAAAATCAGTGGAAGCCAGATGCTTGGGAATTGGTAAGAGGGTTGACCGCAAAGAGACACGAGAGATTTTACAGAAGGATGATAATCACCTGCATCTTGATTGTAACATGGATCCACAATTCTACAGCTGATCAACACTTACAGAGCTGTACACTAAAAAAGGGCAGTTTTCAATGTAACACATCTTTACACGAAGAGCTGCACATTAGTTTCCTATGTACACTGGACACATTATACGTGTGTGTGTATTTGTTTATAAGGGCACATTATATGCATACAGTATATACAATATACCTCAATAAACCTATTTTTTTTAAAAAAAGGATACAATAGAAGGGAAGGCATCATTGTCACTAAAAAGAATAGAAAACATACTGCTATTTTCAATAAAACACAGAGACTAGAAAAAAACTGTCTTACTTTCTTCCTGGTACAAAAAGCCTAAACTTTCCAAAGTATAAAAATTACTTCCTTACTATCAAAGAACATGAACTATTCCTGGGAAACATGAAGAAGAGTTTACTCAGAAAACTCTTCAACAAAAATTTCAGTTTCCTGTAGACTGATAATCAAGGCTATAAATGTTGTTAATTAATTATAGGATAGTATCTTGTTTTGGGGAGCTCTGGTAGCATAGTGCCTAAGGCACTTCACTGCTAACCAGAAGGCTGGAGGTTCAAACCCACCAGCCACTCCTCGGAAGGAAGGTTGGGCAATCTACTTCTGTAGTGATACCGCCTTGGAAAC